GCCAGTGGGCAAATTTGGCCAGGATGCCAGGGTTGAACCCCTACTCTTTTTCGAAGGACATCCTGGGATTTTTAACGACCACAGAGAGTCAGGACCTCAGTTAAACGGCTTATCCGAAAGACTTTAAGAACTACTGTTGTGCTGAGGAAGGGAATGCATGAATTGATAATAGTATTTGCTTAAATAAGACTTAACAGAAAAGTGTTATGAGTGCTTCTACTACTTGTATTATTTGTTATTTTACAGGCTAGTTTTATGTCAGACCCAGTATTATGCACATACACTATCTAACAAAAACTTGTCGATCCTAGTTGTAAGAGCAACAAATATCAACTCGACTTCTAGTTGATCATTAGGAAAAGTGGCAGAGGGTCGATTTTTCTGGTGAATCATCTGTTGAACTGCATCCCAATCATCTCAAATACTGCAGAAGACCTATTGGAACCCGCATGGAGCCAAGATTCTCACAGAAAACAATCAGGTTTGGTGAAGGAAAAATCCTGGTTTAGACTTACATTCAGTATGGAGGTGTGCGAGAGATCTGCAGAGTGAATGGCAACATCAGCAGCCTGAGGTATCAAGACATTTGTGCTGCCCATTACAAACCACAGGAGAAGGCAAATTCTTCAGCAGGATAGCGCTCCTTCTCAAAGAAGCTCAAGATGCTCCAAGATTGGCCAGCCCAGTCACCAGACATGAACATTATTGAGCATGTCTGGGGTAAAATGGAGGAGGCATTGAAGATGAATCCAAAGGATCTTGATGAACTCTAGAAGTCCAGCAAGAACGTTTTCTTTGCCATTCCAGATGACTTTATTAATCAGTGATTTGAGTCATTGCAGAAATGTATGGATGCAGTCCTCCAAGCTCATGGGAGTCATACACAATATTAACTCTTTTTCCACTGCAGCATGTCTTTATATTCTATACAGTACATAATTCCTGTTTAGTGACAAGACTTTTGTCTAAGTAAAGTCAGACCTTACTGTCCTTATTAAATAATTAAGTCATATGATCATATTTTATTTTGGTAAAATAAGTGTAATCTAGAGGCCTTTGCCTTACATATAAGCCACTTCTGATGCCAAATGATCAACTAGAAGTCAAGTTATTATTTGTTGTTCTTAAAACGAGGATAGGCGACTTTGATCAGGCGGTGTACATGAATTCATTTAAGCATTTGCTAAAATCAATATAAAACTTAACAAAGGTTTTATGAGTGCTTCTATTATTGTATTATTTGTAATTTCATGAGATGTTTTTTAAACTTCAAAGTCTCTTCTTTTAAACAAGACCAGAATGAGGATTATATTTAAAAGCGTTCCAGAATTAGTCATTTAAATATGGACATTACCTCTGCAGGCCTACACTCAAAAACAGGCATGACAGTTATCAAGTTAAGGGTGCTTTCACATCTGTAGTTCGCTTCATTTGGGCCGGACCAAGGGTAATAAATGATACATTGTTGCATTTTCTGCCGTTTTTGGGTCGTTTTCACACCACACTGCTGGCTTTGGTCCGAACCAGTTGAAACGAACCAAAATGCAGTCATCTGACAAAATCCACATCTCTCATTGGCCAGATGTTGTTGAACATATTTCCTAAACTGCTTATTGATTGGTCAGAATTCACATGCAGAAAATGCCAATGAACTCCCACAAGTAAACAAACCGGCAGACAAAATGTCGTTTTTACTCAGGAGGGACGACTGCGCTGACTGATTGTATGCCTGCTTTAAACAAACTATACATTTTAAGAATGAAGCGCGGCCGCGGCTGGAAAACAGTGTTTAATGCATCGCTCGTCACTTCAGAAGGAGGCGTGAATTAATTTAGCTAAACTGCGACATGGTCATCTTGCGGAAATATTACCAACGATCGATCAGGTAATGTTTTCCTCTCTCTCTCTCTCTCTCTTTGTTGGTAAAGCGCTGTCAACAAATATTTTTCCTCCATATCCCATAATGCACTGCACATTGGTCTACGGCAGCTGGATTAGTCCAAAACGCACAGTACTTTTTGCGGTTGGGTCTGTTTTAGTACGGATCATATTCTCACCACAAACGAACCGCTCCAGGGTTTGCTTTAAAACGTACCGAGACCACCTCTTCAAGCAGGTCTCGGTACGCTTATTTGGTCCGCTTTTGGTGCGCACTTGAGTACGATTGCTGCATTCTCACCTGCCCAAACGAACCGCACCAAAAGGGGAAACGAACTCTAGTGCAATTCAATCGAACTAAATAAAGCAGGTGTAAAAGCACCCTAAATGAGCAAGGCTGAATGGAAACATCACTAATGTGACAGGCACATGTTCTAATTACGAAACGTATGACTGTAGCAAACACAATGTACTGTACAATACCTTGGCCAAGAAGTAGAAAGGGAACCAGGACAGGAAAATGTCGGCGAAGAACTCCACCACGCTGAACACTCCATAAACCACCCAGTAGGTCAGCCATTTTGTGTCATCATCCTTGGCTGGGCTCTCAATGGCTTTGATTCTGCGAATAAATGAAGAGTCACACACATGTGATATACCCGCTGCAAGTCTGCATTCTCTCTACAAGGCTGTCCTTTACTATTTCACATTTACTAATTTACGTTCACAGACAGAACATAAAGAGGGTGATTGATAATTTAGAGCTTTAAATATTTGCTTAGTTTTTTGACAGGAGCCGGGAACGTTGATCTTTTAACCCAGTAAAGCATATTGACATATAACAGAGGGAACTTTAGATTTTCGATATGAGAAAAAGGCGAATAGATTCATATAATTGATATATATATATATATATATATATATATATATATATATGTTTTTTTTTATTAATTAAATAATATTTTTAACTAATTAAATAATTAATTAGCTCATTAAGACTGAAAATATTTGGCTCATAAAATCATAAAATATTTGCCTCATTTGGCTCGTATTTGGCTCATAAAGACTGAAAGAGAGAACATGAAGCTAATATTGAGGAAAGAAATGCCTCAACTCTACTCAAATGCCTTAAGTGAGCAAAAGTATTAACTTTGGCGGTAATGCAAATTAAGATGAAACTCTGATTTCCTGTAAATCAATTATATTATTTAGCATAGCTCTGAACAAGAAGTTTGGCCACAGGAGAAATGGTCGTGCTCAACCGTGCCTGGTTTCTCTCAAGGTTTTTTTCCTTCACTTTAGTCAATTGGTGAAGTTTTGTTCCTCGCCACTGTCGCCGCTGGCTTGCTTGGTTGGGACTTGTGGAGCTGTGCATCGATGGATTTGCTCTTCAGTGTTTGGACTTTCAGCAGTGATAATTAAACCACATTGAAATTAATTAAACTGAACTTCAACTCTGAAAACTGGACTGACGCAGTTTCGATTTACTTCTATGCTAAGCTGCTTTGACACAATTCACATTGTAATAGTGCTATAGATGAACTGAATTGAATATAGCAATGGAGCAGTATAGCAAACAAAACTATTCTATAGTGTAAAGGTAAATGAACAGATAAGCAAGTTGCTTCAATAATAAAAATTATCTTAAAAAAACATAATAATAATAATAACTGTTGTCATGTTTACTCAGAAGCACATTTACCACTTGAAATGCAAAAAGTTTGCCTGTTTGCCAAAGAAAAAGCGTAAACTATAAATTAAGAAACCTAATGCATTTAGTAAATCAAGTGCAACAGGTTTTTCAGGAAAGGCTGGAGCATACAGATCTTCTACAGAGCCATAGAAATATGTTTGAAACACAACACAGTGGGATTTACAGGGTTAAATTAGTGGCGATTAGTGTTGCATGCTAGAGTCAAGTTAACTGACACACATGAGTCACAAGGGCTTCTGTGGTTTGGCATGCTGAACACGGATCTGCCTATCTGCATTTTTTAAAACACTCGATTGTCATCCCTTCAAGAAGATTCTAGATTCATAAATACATTAATAATAGGGTGTAATTGTGTCAAAGTTGAAACTTTTGAAATCTGTATTTTTTTTTAATAACCATTGAAATGTTTAATGGCCTCTGAAATATTCTCCGTTTCGTGACTAGTGAGGTAACCAGCGAAATGGTATGTGCTTGGCAGGCAACAACAAACCACATTAGTTCTTAGCTGTCAACAAACTACATTTCAGCTTTCTTTGACGGTATTTGCAGGGATGGACAATCATATGCTGATAACGATCATATAAAGCTCTATATGGTAGAGCCTTCCTATATCTGACACTGTCTCTCAGTACACAACTACTCTACTTCCCTGCGGTTTGCTGATTCTCAGTCTTCAACAGCCACCATGTAGATTAAAATCAATGGGGAAAAGTCTTCTCTTTTGCTGCACTTAGGTTATGGAATTATACTTCTGCGTTGACTGATTACTAGGCCCACACAGAAGAATCTGCACACGCAGAATTCTGCATATTTATTCAGTTTTTAAATTAATTTCAGTAATATTATTACCTAATATGAAAGTGTTTTTTTACAAAATTCTGCACAGAAATAGCAAAAAACGTCAGCAGATTTTGTGTGGCCCTCACGGATTACTGTAACGCAGTCGTGCATTTATACTTCTGCATTCTGTTTGTGTTACAATAACACTTCGGAAACGCTAGCTGGCAGTGGGGTTTCTGTTTCGCTGTGTTGAATTTCACAAAATCTCATGTGAGCTGACGCACTTGGGTTCTTTGACCACAGAGAGCGAGGACAAGTCAGGAAATACATCATTATGCGATGAGTCGCTTGTAGTTCATTGATTCCACAGTGCACTTGCTTAGGAGAGTGTATGCTTTGCCCAGGCTATGATTATGTTTCCATTCACATACCTTTATGCGCATTTTTGAATATTGAATAAAAAGATTCTTAATAAAAATGGCAAGATCTGCATACATTTGAAAATGTGCATTAAAAAAACATGCACACAATTGAACAGGACAGAACAGAAACTTTTAGTTATGCCTAGTTCAGACTGCGTGATTTTAGCCCTGATTTTGGCTCGCCGACAGGTTTTGAGAAATCGCCGACAAATGCCTGAAATCACAGGCAAATCGCTGCACGTGCATGTGAGTGACAATCACACAGTATGAACGATCAAAGACGCGATCTGAGAAAATCGCCGATGAGTCGCCGATGCCTGCGAGATATTTGGCGTGCTAAATATCTGGAGCTGTCGGCGATTCAAATCATGCCGTGTGAATTGAGTTTTGACTGAAAATAACATCAACGATTGCCTACAGCCAATGAGAGAGCAGCTTTCACTTGTGTGTGCGTGTGTGTATAGCTGCTGCAGGCCAGCGGGAGGCTGGGGGAGAAGTTAAAAGCGCTCTTTTTCGGTTTATTTGGACCCACGAAATGGAGGAAAAACTAGTGGAGGTTTGACAGGACTCTGGAGCAACTGTGTCTGTTTGAAGGTTCATACAGAAAAAAAATAGTTTATTATCAACGTTGAGGAGAAATGGCTAATTCCCTTTAAACCCAGGTGAGCAAACATGTACATGTTCTACCCCATTAAAGGCTTCTTTCTCATTATGTAGTTATGAGAACGTAGTTTGGACGAAGTTGTCGGCGATTCTTCCTATAGTAAAGTCATGCAATCTGAAAGCCCCTGTCCCCGATCCATCTTGCAGTGTAAACAAAGCAGCGACGAAACGCAAGCCCAGATAGTCATGCAGTGTGAAAACATCTGTGACACGACTACTTTGAAAATCATGCAGTCTGAACTCGGCATAAGAGGAGTCATCAGAGGAAAATCTGCTATCAAGATCACTTATTTACATGACTGCAGCACCTTGCAAGGAGAAACTTGTGCATTCCTGCAACAAGCGGTGCAAGCAAACGCTCATTTAGTGCAGACGGCCGTGTTTAAGAGGCAAGGGCTGGTTTTGAGCATCTGCACTCCCAACGTGCGTCTCACAGCTCCAAAAACACTGCATGTTCATGGGGTTTTTATCTTCTAAGATGCAGGTAATTTATCCTACAACAGCAAATAGCAATTTTTAATAGCAGTTTATCAGGAAGTGACGATTTTGTTCTCCTAACTCAGGGGTCGGCAACCCAAAATGTTGAAAGAGCCATACTGGACCAAAAAAAACAAAAACAAATATGTCTGGAGCCGCAAAAAATTAAAAGCCTTATATAAGCCTTATAATGAAGGCAACACATGCTGTATGTATTTATATTAGCTATATTAGCCTACTATAAAAATTATTTAGTTGGCTACAAATACATACTGAGCCTTCATGATTAAATGTTTTTTTTTTTTTCCTGCAGTGCATCCTGTAGAGAATGACGCACCACGTGACTACTCTGTTGTACGATGCCGTCTCAAGTTTAACTTAATTACAATATTAATGCATTATGTTTAATGTTCGAGTTTAACTTCATTACAATATTAATGAATTATGTTTAATGTTAAAGTTTAACTTCATTACAATATTAATGCATCATGTTTTGCTTTGATGAAATTAAAGAAATGCAGTAAAGAAATCAGATTTTTGATGTTTTTTTATTTTGAGGATTCCAAAAAACAACATCAAAATGAACGTGCATAACGTGCCCCTTACTGGGAATGTGCTCAACAAGGAAGGGTCAATCTCCAGGGGTGTGTGACAAGGAAAGACAGTCTCGTTTTTTCCTTTCGCCACTCGCAAAATCTGCTCCCAAATGCAGTTTGCATATCAACGATCGCACCTTGTAAATAATCACTGAGCGATCGGGATGGGCTTTTTTACAACAGCCACCTGCCTATTCCGTGTGTCGCAGGCTATGATGCAAATCTTCGTTGACAGAAATGTTGAAAATAAATATTCTACACACTTTTACAGCATTGGAAAACGTTAAGATTGTTTGTCCTCCTATAGAAACCATATTAAAACAAAAATATATTTACCTCCCCCATCTTTTTCCGTTTTCAAACATTTTTTGAAAAAGCTCCAGGGAGCCACTGGGGCAGCGCTAAAGAGCCACGGGTTGCCGACCCCTGTCCTAACTCATCGATGGAAACCCTACCTAATTCGCAAAATGTTTTATTCAATATTACAGTTTTGTGCATGAATCTAATTTGAATCTTTAGATGGAAACATAGCAAAGTACATGTAGTAAACTAGTAAAAAAAAAGGGTTCATTTAGTTGCACAGAGCGATCATTTTGCTTCAGGGCATCGTCAGGAGCAGCGGAGCAGGAGCACTACAGGTGGAGCATCACTGCACAAAGTGAAAGAGCGTGCATCATTTAAATTACAATATAGCGTTTTAGATGCATGATTACTGCAAACATTTTATATGGTTCATTCTTTCAGGCCAAACAGTTTTTTTTTTTCAGTACATCCAATGAAAGCCTGTATTCACTGCTCGAGTGTTCTGCATGAGAATAGGGGTGTGACAAGACGCTTACATCTTTATTAATCTGGGGTCGCCCAATGACTGTAAAAAAATATGGACGACGCGACAGCCCCTTTTCCCATTGAACGCCTTGAGGGCAAAACGCCTGCTTGACGGGCACAAACTGTCCCAAAAGACTGCTGA